GGCAGAGAAAATGGCTGCTTTGGAACGTGGACTCTGTGGCATTATAACCCATCGGAGTCCCTCCCCTGCCCTCCCCAAACCCCAGGTATTTTCCCAATCCAGAGCTGGCAACCCTACCCACAGAGCCAATCAAAGAGTAGGACTCGGTGGTCTCTTTACGGAGGGAAAAGGAAGGGGGAAGGGTGACCTTGGGCCAAGCTCTAACCTCTCTCAAAGGACTGTTGTCATGAGGAAATGGGGCAGGGGCTTATCACGGCCTCAAGCTCCTGGGAGGGAGGCAGGGAAGGAGGGATTAAAATGTGAGGAAAGGCATGGAGGGAAGGTACGGTGCACTTAATGGTGTGGACAGCCACTCTGCCATAGGACTGGGGCATTAAAACAGCCCTGGAGCGAGCTGAGACAAGTGGCCCCCAGGGCGGGGTCTCCTCTCTTCTGTTCTTGTTTGTGAGAGAGGCAGTTTGGTGTAGTGGTTCAGTGTGCGGACTCTAATCTGGGAGCATCAGGTTTGATTCCCCAGTCCTCCACTTGCAGCTGCTAGATGACCTTAGGCAAGGGATAGTTCTGTCAGAGCTGTCCTCTAATCTGGGAGCATCGGGTTTGATTCCCCAGTCCTCCACTTGCAGCTGCTAGATGACCTTAGGCAAGCCATAGTTCTGTCAGAGCTGTCCTTGAAAGCTCTCTCAGCCCCACCTACCTCACAGGGTCTCTGTTGTGGGGAGGGGAGGGGAAGGGAAAGGAGTTTGTAAGCTGCTCTGAGACTCTGAGTGAAGGGTGGGGTGTAAATCCAATCTCTTCTTCTCTTCTTCTGCTCAAGGTGAAGTGCATTGAGGGAGCCATGTAATTCACAAAGGAATAAAAAGAATTCCCATAAACTGTGGCCTTTCTAAGGCCAGGGAAGAGACCACTGTCTCTCTTCATTCACACCACCACAGAAAGAATTCCGCAAGGTGGCTCTCATGTTTCCTGGATGAGGAGGGGGGGAAAGAAAGAGCCCCTTTGCCCTGGCCCTTTCCTTTCACAAGGACACCTGTCCAGCACCACAGAAGGTTCTCCTTACCTCACCCGCTGAGATGAGGCGTAGGTAGCCCTTCCTCCATGGCTGCTCTGGGACATCCTTAGAGTTGCCAACCTCCAGATGGTTGCAGGCAACAGAGATCAGTTCACCTGGAGAAAATGGCTGCTTTGAATGGTGGGCTCTATGGCGATATAACCCATTGAAGTCCCTCCCCTCCCCAAACCTGCCCTCCTCAGGCTCAGCCCCCAAAATCTCCAGGTATTTCCCAACCTTGAGTTGGTAACCCTAGTTGATCTCCCACAGGGGCTCTTTCCTGTTGCTACTAAGGCCTGAAAGAACATGGCAGGAACTGAAGTTTTGTTGTTCTGCACGGAACAGCTTTGCTTCTGTCTGGCCACATTGCTGCGGCTCTGTCTCTACTACGGGGATGGGAAATGCTCCTGACACAAGTGTCTTGAGCCCCCTCTCCTCTAAGCTCACCTGCAAGTTAGGTGAGAAACCCGAACAGAGACACCTCCCTGTGTAATGGAAAGCTTGACATGGGGAGGGACCTCAGGAGGTCTGCTCAGAAGTGAGGCCCATGTTACTCATTGTGGCTTACTCTGAAGAAAGGACCCTCAGGACTGCAGCTGCAGACATGCACTCCCAGCTCTTCACCTATGGTTCAGGATATTTCCATTCAGCTAAGGTTCCTTTGGACATCTACTCTGGGGTGCTTTCACACACACTCTCTGCGGTCACACACACAATAAATTATCCACTTTCAATCCACTTTCAGTGCACTTTCCAATTGGATTTTACTGTGTGAACTGTCAAAATCCAGTTGGAAAGTGCATTGAAAGTGGACTGAAATTGCTTTATTTAGAGTGTGTGGCCACAGCCACAGTTTATCTATCTACCTGGATTTACACCACAGGAGCATTGAGACTTGACTACTGCAATGCAGTCTACATAGGTCTTGCCTTGAAGTCAGCTCAGAGATTTCAGCTGGTCCAGAATGCTGCAGCTCAGTTCTTACCGGGAACTAGGAAGAACATGCACCTTACTCCCATTTCGCAGTCACTCCGTTAGTTACAGGGCTGCCCATTAATTACAGGACTCAATTGAAGATATTGGCTGTCACATTCAAAGCCCTTCATGGCTTTGGTTCCTCATCTCTGTGGGACCACCTCCCCCCCCCTTCCACCACAACAGTTTTGCTCACTGCAAATGGGCAAAATCAGCAACTGCCCATACATGTGAATTCTCTGTTGTGACCTCCATCTTCTGGCATGGCCTGCTGGGGGAGGGCTGAAAGGCTCCCACCCTCCTGTCTTTTCTTCAAACTATGCAAAACTGAATAATTCAGGAGTGCTTTTTTCATAGGCAGTAGGGCTATACTGTAACAAAATGGTTTTAGAAACATTCTGTGATAAAGGGATCGTGACTGTGGACTGTGCATAGTACATACTGTCTGTTGCTAGGTATACTCCTATTCAGGGCTCTAGTCGGGGGGGAGCTCTCAGGTACGGAGCTCCGGAAGAGAACCTCTAGGGGGCGGGGCTGTCACGTGGTGAAGCCCCGCCCCCTTCTTTACCCCGCCCTCTGCTTCGATCCTCATTCCGTTTGGGAATGAGGATGAAGCAGGAGGGTAAGTAGCCGGGCCTTCTGACACACTTCCGGTGATGTCAGGGTGTGTGGCCTTCTGTCACTTCCGGTGATGTCAGGGGGCGTGGCATATGCAAATAAGTTATGCTAATGAGTTATGCTAATGAGCTCCGGCAGCTCTTTTTCTACAACAAGACCCCTGCTCCTATTACATAATTTCTGCATTGCTTAATGTGGATACTTATGCTTCATTTCAGCATTGTTTCAACTGTGTTTCAGATGTCTGCTTGTTTTATTGCATTGTTTATTGGATGTCCCATCTTGCTGATTTTATTGACTTACACTACTGTGTAACTTGCCTTGCGTCTCAGGCAATAAATATAACTTGTGGATTCCCAGGATAACCAATCTGTTCCACTGTTAACTTTTACCTGGGGATGCTCTTTGACATTGATCGACAGTTCCTTTGCTCACTTGTGATTCTGCAGGAACAACCAGGGTTAAGGATTGGGGGGTGGGTCTAAAACAGAAACATGTAGAACAATTCATTTAGCAAACCCACAAAGGCTATAATCCTGTGCAGAACTGGGTATAGTTACAATAGTTGGGGGTGGGGGGAGAAAAGTAAGGAAACAGATGGTCAAAGACTCCCACAAGCTGTTCTGCAGCTAGGTTTGATTTCTGAAGCACCTTAATCCCCACCTCACCCTCAAAATCTGGACTATTTCCTCACTAGAGGTAGGAAGGTGAATTCATTTGTGTTTCTAAAGCTCTTTCCCAGGGCCTTTGTTGTCTTTGTTTGGTGAGCCAGTTTGGTGTAGTGGTTAAGTGCGTGGACTCTAATCTGGGAGAACTGGGGTTGATTCCCCACTCCTCCACTTGCACCTGGCTGGATGGCCTTGGGCAAGCCATAAGAGCTGTTCTTGAAAAAGAGCAGTTTCTGTCAAGAGCTCTCTCAGCCCCACCTACCTCACAGGGTGTCTGTTGTGGGGAGCCGAAGGGAAAGCAGTTTGTAAGCCGCTCTGAGCCACCTTTGGGTAGTGAAGGGCGGGGTATAAATCCAATCTCATCTTCTTCTTCTTTGTTTCAAAGAGCTCCAGGGCCTGCTTGGCATTAGGTGGCAATCGAAAGTGCTGACAAATCACAGGTGACTCATGGCAACCCTGTAGGGTTGTCAAGGCAAGAGAGGTTGAGAGGTGGTTCGCCATTGCCTGCTCCTGTATCACGACCCGGGTATTCCATTGGTGGTCTCCCATCCAAGTCCTAGCCAGGGCTGATGCTGTTTAGCTTCCAAGATCCCACACAATCAGGCTAGCCTGGACTATTCAGGTCAGGGCTGTTTCGTATTAGGCGCTCTCTCTCTCTCAATACATCCACTCCATATGGACTCAGCAAAGCCATAGTCCCATGCCAGTGTGGGTCATGGGACTAGTCTCAGGGTTTCTCCCGGCACTTGGTGAGACCGCGGGTGTTTATTTCCCGATTTAGTCATTGCCACTTTGTGGCTTTCGTAACGGAGTGCCCTCGCGTGGCTATTCAGGGAGGGCAACGAGGTGCAGAGCAGGCGCTACGGTACCGTTTGTTTACTTTTCTCCGCGCAACTTTCACCCGCTATCCTGTTAACAGCATCTGTAGTCTTAGGCGATCCTACTTTATTAAAGCAATTTCTTCTTTGGTAAGGGCTATCAAGAGAGCTCCTAGGATAAGTACAGGAGTTGCCATAGAGATGGAGATTTGCTCTTGGCACAGGACGCATATTTTAAAATCACCGAGGCATCTGGTTTCTGAATGTATTCAGCCTGGAGCATTCCGCCACCAGGTCCTCCGAACATTCTAAATGAGGATTTTATAACTCTAAGCTGTTGGCGACCGGCATAAATTTAAAACTACTGTTACAAGATAATATTAGCAATGAAATCTTAGGGGGCAAATTGGGGGGCTTTTCTGTGCGCTTAACTGCCTCCACATTTTGGAAGGAACATACTTGGCCTGCTAAATATAATTACATAAAGGACATCATTTATGGGGGCAATAAAACGACCAAGAAAAAAAACTTAATCAGCAAGGACATCCATGGCCAAAGCAAAGAAGCTTCAATCGTCGCGTACACGTCAGAATTCTTCTATATGTGGCTTCCAGGACCTGGAAGGAGAGAAAGGAACAGGGGAATAAACAGCGTGAAACATCGTCTCTGTGATTGATTTGAGGTTGTTGGAAAACCTGGTTTGCAGAGGGCTATCCCAGACGGTCCACGTAGTTCCTACTGCACTGAGGATTATACTTTCCGGGTTTTGCTCCACGAAATATGCACGAGTAGTAGCCGGAGTTTAACAAAAGAAGAGGGTAGCCAAGAGGAAAGTACTCTAAAAAAGGGAGGGTGGGTAGGGATAACGGCCAGATGCAACAGAGGACCCAGATATTTGAATTCCTGAATTAAAACGAGGTAAGGTGGATTATCTACCCCACATTTTAGGGCAGGTTTGTTTCTTGAAAGGGAAACAATTTTCTGCCAAGTCTGTCAACCGGGAGAAACGTTTTACTCAGACATACCCAGACGGTCTGGGGCTTTGAAAACGCCTTTCTTGTTCTAAATCGAACTTGAAGTATTTTGGCTCTAGTAGGCCACAGGGCAGTGTGTGCTTAACACGGAGATCACTGGTTCCAAATGTAACAAAACTATCTTCTGCATCTGGGGTAAAGTATGCATCCCAAGGGCAGAATCAGAAGAAAACTAGTGGTTACGGTGGCTGAATAAGATGGACAAGGAACGGTCGTCGTCGTCCCCCCGTCCCCCCCGCGGAAGTTTTATATTGAAATTCAGTAGTTGTTTTCTCCACTTCTCAACCTGTGATATTCAGTGGGGGGAATGGAGCTCAGTAGGCAACTTTGACTGCTATTGCAGAGTACCCAGGTGCAAGAAGAAAGGACTGGCACCATCTGTGCCTGGAAGCCTCCTCAACTCTATTAGTTACACAAGGGCTGGAGGAGGACAGGTACACAGTGGAGGCAGGAGAGGGGATGGTTGGGTTCGAATGAAAGAGGAGAGGGAATGGGCCTGGCAAAGGGTTTGTGCGTGATCTCAGCTTGTCATTTAAAAACAAAACAAAAGCTAGCCCTGCTCTTGTGCTTGTAGCCACAGGTTGACACATTCCCTGTGGCACACTGCTTTGTGGGTGGTTGTGCACTACAGCTGATAGCCTCCATCAGCTTCTTGGGACTTTGATTACTGACAGTCATTTCGGTGGCAAAATCATTCTGAATGAGTTGCACCCTCTGGCGCTTTATTTGGACTAATGTCTCTTGCAATCCCTAGAGGGTGATGGGTGTGTCTATTATTGATGTACTAGGACTCTGGAACAGTTCTGTCTGCATGGATGGGAGGAGAATGATCAACATAACCAGGAGCAGAAACTCTAACCAGAAAGGCTGAATGTATTTATATGTGGAATGTTGCCTTTGTGAATATTATGATCTCTTAAAGGCAAGAAACCATGGAGCGTTACAATACTTCATAGTTCTTGGGTTCTGTTCGGTTTCCTGCAGAAACGCCAGTTGAACCATTTTCTGTTTCAGATTGGGATTCCTGTCTTCAACATCTTTGCACCAACTGGCATTGGTAGCAAGGAGAGAGATGAAGCCCAGCAAGTCTTTCGGTCTGAGAAATGTCCCGAGAACTACCATCTAACCCTCCATTTTCTATATTGGTACAAACATGGGTTTATATGACTGCAGAGGCCAGGTCAAAGTCCCATTTCTCCATGAATAGGGGCAGGTGATTGTATTTACTTACTTTATTTATACCCCACCTTTCTCACCAGTGGGGACCCAAAGCAGTTTCCACTGGGCTTGTCTCCTTTCATTTTGTCCTCACAAAAACCCTGAGAGGTAGTTTAGGGCGAGAGCGTTTGTCTGGCCCAAGGTCACCCAGGAAGTTTCCATGGCAGAGTGAGGCTTGGAACCTGGCTCTCCCAGATCCTAGTCTAACAGTCTAATGACTACGCCTCGCTAATTTATTGGTTGCTGCAGGCTGATGTTGCTAAGTATGGGCGTCCCTCCTCTTGCTCCTGTAGCACCTAACTGCTGGCCTAGCTCTGGATAGTTTAATAAATATTCCTTAGAGTAGGCTGGATCTTAGTGGTGTAAGGGTTTAGCCCAGCATCACTGTAGTGGCGGATCTGATCCTGCAGAAGGGCTTATCTTTTAAAAGATTCAGGGGTGGCCTTCTGTTTCTTTCAATTAAGCAGCCTATGCCAAACAGGAAGTTCAGTACATTTTCTCTCTCTCTCTGCAGGGGGACATCATTACTATGAAGCTGAATGAGCGCAGTGTGGCCCATTATGCCACGTGCGACTCTCCAGCAGATCACACTGGCTTCCTGTGTAAGCGTGTGGAGCGCCACCATCACACCACGTCCTACCAGCGCCGCTGGTTTGTCCTCAAGGGCAACTTGCTGTTCTATTTTGAAGAGCGGGAGAGCCGTGACCCCCTGGGGCTCATCGTGTTGGAGGGCTGTACTGTTGAGCTATGTGAGGCTGCGGAGGAGTTTGCCTTCGCCATCCGCTTTGATGGGGCTGGTGCCAAGGCCTACGTGCTGGTTGCTGACTGCCAAACGGCTATGGAAGCTTGGGTGAAGGCACTTTCACGGGCCAGCTTTGATTACATGAGGCTAGTGGTGAAGGAGCTAGAGAAACAACTGGAGGAGGCCCGGAAGAACTTGGTTGTCAGCCATAAATTTCCAAAGAAGTCATCTTCTGGCCGGAAGAGACATCTCTCCAACCCCACAATGGTACCTGTCCCGGAGCACCCTGTCATCATGGAGAATGGTTATGCTACATGGGGTGATAGTTATTCCCTTGTTGGAGGAGTTTCTTTTGACCACGATGGGGGATATATAAAACCCCCACCTCTACCTCCTCGCCGAAGGCTGGCAGGCAGCAACGTAAGTGGAGTGCTGACTGCTGGCCTTGCTTCCACTGTACAGGAAAGCCCTGTGTCTCCAGAGACAGCCTGCTTCTCAAAGCTACATGATTGGTATGGCCAGGAGATTGCTGATGTGAGGAGGGAATGGTTGGAAAGCCAGAAAAGAGTGGAAATGTGAACAGAGTGGTTGTTTGTCAAGGGGCAGAGAACAATACATGCCAAGCACATTCACAGCGATCTTGCTGCACTTTCTGGATTGATCTCCCAGCCAAGAGAACCACCAAAGAAGATGATATATATTGCTTTCTGGAACCCCGTGACTGCAAGTCTATCTCTTACAGTTTACCCCACCCTTCCTCTGCAAAGCTCATAGCGGCATATGTACATGATTCGTCCCTCCTCCATCTTTTTCTTACAGCAACCATGCAAAGTAGGTTGCTGAGAGGGTCCAGCCCAAGGGCACCCAGGGAGCAGCTGAGTGGGGTTTTGAAGCTGGGTCTCCTCAATCCTAGTACAACACCCTTACCACCACACAGCAGGGAATTTGTATGTGTATATGCTGGGATACTTACTACCAGATCTTTGTATTCCCAGAGGCTATCCTGCTGTCCCCAAATCTTACACTCAACATGTGCCTCAAGAATCATAACAACCTTTCATAGTTTCGTCTGAATGTCTCTTGCCTTCAAAACTCTATGGGGTCACCGTAAATTGGCTGTGACTTGATGGCACTTTCTGCCACCAATGTGTAGTCAATTTAAAAAGTATCTACAATGCAAGAACTCACACAAACTGTAGGTGGCATGATTGTGTGAGAAGAGGCATGTCCTTCCATCTCAGCTGTTAATCAGCTTTCTTCTGGTGGCTGATAGCCCTAATTTCAAGATTAAAACGTCATAGCTGTCATAAATTGCACTGGGCTTTTGCCCTGTACTGGTGAATATATTTTATATGGACAGGCCAAAAAACAAATCAAATGGCTAGTGAGAAAGTTCTCCATATGATATGGGACTTGTGAGAGCCCTCTTCAAAATAACAGGTTCTTAATGCACAGATTCCTGAACAGTTTGTTCAAAACTGTTACTCCCATTTAAACTGTATATTTCAGCGCTCTTAGTATTTCTGCTGGATAGAGTAATACAAGTTAAAAGCATGGAAGCTATATGCCTTTCTTACTCAATAGAACAAATGCTTAGTGATTTTATATAGCATGTATTAAATATTCAAAGCATTTATACATTTAGACGACAGTAATCAGGTATTCCTCATAAACCCATATCTGGCCTGAGACCAGGGTACCTGAGACCAGGGTGCCTTCACCTGTATGAGTCTGCCTGCCAACAAAGATCATCAAAAACTCTGCTCTGAGTATCCTCAGTCTGAGGTGTGGTAGGCAAGAACTGGGAACAGGGACTTTTCTGTTGTGGCACCAACATTTAGAAGTCCCTCCCTACTGCGGCTGAATTTACAGTCCTTCAAGTGCCAGGCTAAGCTTTAAAAAAATCTCTCAAGTTTTTCACTAGTTTCTCCTTTATCTGCTTTTAGTTGAGTTTCTCCTTTGTTTCCTGATTTTATCTAAGCAAGTTTTATTTATCTTTTTCATTTTTAGCATGTTTTATGCTTGTGGATACTATTTTAAATTTTATTATTGTAAAACACCTTGAATACTTTTGGTTCAGAGTGCAGGATAAAAAAAAGTTTGAAATAATCTCTTTAATAGCCAGAACACAATCCCCATACTACAGCCTGTGATAAAATTGAGAGAACTGTAGCTTGCGTAAGGCCACCAAGTGAATTCATAGCTAAGGTGAGATTTCAACCAGGAATGTCTTAGCTTACTATAATGATCTAGCCCCATTCCCTCACTCAGATGCAGGGTTTTGCCTGCTTTTCCCCCTTCCTTTCTGGCTGAGCAGCCCCTTTATCTATTTTCTTCTTCTTCTGTGAAGGTTTATGGCTGTCACACCCTGTCACAGTATTATATTCTGATGCTGGCTCAGTCCAGGAACTTGAGGGAAGAGACAAAATCTCCCTCCTTAACTTACACTTCTGAAAACAACACACAAGAGGCTTTTTAAAGTTCAAAAATAAATGAAATATTTAATTCAACATAGAGAGTCAGGTGAAAGCAGGGGTAAAATGTCTGAGGTAAATCTATAATGAACTCTGAGGTAACTTAGTAATTTCACATTAATATGTTTTCAGCAGGTGAATTTAAAGCTTTTCACAAAGTCTTACAATCATAGAGATGACAGACTTTGGTTTCAGTGGTCCTAAACACTCCAGTTAACTTTCTTGAGTTTAACTGACTCTTCAGGTTTCAGAAGGCAGGGAGCACACCAGAGATCACTCCAAACTTTGAGCTGTTTCCCTTATCCAACTGGGCAGGGAATCACTTTTCTTAACTAGAAGATCTCTCCCTTTTTCGGGCCAAATGGGGGTCTTCACCAATCCTCCCATTCCTCTTTGCCAACCTTCCCAGCCCTCAGTCACTGTTAAACGTTTCTCAGTCAGTGCTAAATTCTCCTCAGTCAGGGCTAAACTGTTCCAGTTCTCACTTAGAGCTAAACTGAGTTGTCTTCAGCAGTCAATTCCCAAGTCTTTCTGCTCTACTGATGCAGCCTGCCACTCAAGGCTCTCTGGCTCTGTGAGGCATTAACCCTTCATAGTCCTTTACATGTTTACACAGCACTTATGAGTTTTTAAAGCACAGTCCGTCACACCGACCAATAGTCTGCCTCATTGTAAGGTAGCTTCATATCTATGCCATTTAATCAACCAGACTATCACCATCTGTACTGTAGTACAAAGTGTCACTCCAAAATTGGGTTTAAAACTAAGGTTGCTTTCTCATGGATCTCTTGTTCCATGCCTCCCTTGCTACAGTAATTTTCTTTTAGCCTGCCACTTGACAGCATTGTGCTGTTGTCCACCCTCTCAGTCTTTCCTTAGCTCTGTTTTGGTACAGTATTTCCTTAAAGACAGAACTCAGAGTAGGCTTCAAGAGCATGTAGATGTGAAGGTATACATTTCCATACCTCCCTGCCCACATCTGGTCCTGTTTCCCCCAGCATCCCTGGCAGGCTTTTTGATGTTAAACTGATAGTTGTTCTGTTGCGATAATGTCCTAAAACTGTAGCAATATTCCTACTATTGATTTTTTTTTTTTAAGCGAAAAGCCCATGATGGGGGAGGAAAACAGGAGCTGTGAGGGGTAAACAGAAAATCCCTTTGTGGAGGAGCAACCTATTTGTGTTACTTCTAGTAAGCTCCCTGTTCTCAGACGTTCAATAACAGGTCATGACACTGATATCTCAGAACAACATTTCAGGTGGGCTCTTGACATTGCAGCTGTGTACATACCTCACATTTCAAATATGCAGAGCTAAGGATTCAATACTGATCTGCTATTCCACTCTCATTCGTTGAATAAAACTAGGATGGACAAAGGCAGAGATACAAGAAGCAGTTCCGAGAAAACTATGAAGATGGGTTTTAAATGTTTTTCAACCACAACCACTGAGTTACGATTTCTATGATCATAAATAAGAGAACTTATAGCTTAGTGTTAATAGGAGCTGAAGGTGCTGATTGGTGTATACAAATGCTTGCATACCATATTGCTTTCTGATCTTTTAGTTCCAATTCCTCTTTAAGGGACTTGCACATAAATAACTTTAAACTTTAACTGTTGAGCCAACAAAGCCATTATATACAACATTCAACTGTAAGCCAATGTAGACGATAATCATAAGTCATCCGTTCTGTTTACGTATGTGGGCAACTGCAATACCTAAATAGGGTGAAAATTCCAATTGGAGAAAAAAAAATCCATCACGATTCTTTTACTAAGTAAAAAATCAAGCCCTCGTGGCAAGTAAAGCAGCAATTCTGAAACTGGTAGGAGTGGAATAATGTGAAACAACATGAAACAACACTTTTATATCAGAGTCCAAAGAAGATTTTCCTCCAGCTGGTCTGGAATACTGATATCAGCAGTTAATAGATTTGCAAACTTTATACAGAACTTAATGGAATTTAGCACTCTTGCAATGTTGAACTTGCTTTGCACGAAATGTATACAATACAGTCTTATTTTTTTAAACAAATGTTTGCATGGGCCGTTTTCCATACAGAACAAGGAAGTATAGTATTGTTTTTCAGTTATTAGTGATTCATGTTTAATGCTGAATAAAGGGTTTTTTTTAAACTTGTAGCTTGTGTGAAGTAACTTTCACCACTGCCTATTCTGTAACCCTCAGGGTTTGCGTATGGACACTGAAGATGAGGGACAACCAACTCTACTTGAGAAACAAGGACAGAAAACCTCCCCACCAACCCATTTCTAGAAGCTGGCACATTCCTCCAGCTGACGAAAGCTGCCTTAATTTTCCAGGCGAAAAAGAGTTGTGCCCCCTGCTCCCCCACAGCAGAAAATAAGTTATATGGTCTTAAACCAATTTGCAAGATTCAGAAGTATTTAATATTTAGACAAAGGAGACTTACTTTTATTGGTATTTGATTATATATCTAGATATAAAACACTTGCACTGAAATGAACTCTACTTCTTCCATTCAAATTAAGTATTGATACAGCATTAACTTGTAGAATACAAGCCAAAGCTAGTGGACTCCAACTAACCATACAAAAATGCTTGGTTCCATAGTTGTACAGATATTCCAGTTAGAGGAATGGTAGTGAATAGCACAAAGAATTTTTGTTTATAAAGGAGCCTTGGAGATTCTGGGAAAGGAGTGATACTCCCTCCTTCAGGCAATGTATTCCACATTCATCCCCATAGTAAGCTACCATCAAATTATGACAAAACTTTTTGAGCCAATATACTCTCTCCTCAAATCTGACAGTTTACAGTACAAAAACACACCCTTCTAAGTACTTTGAAGTCAATTGATTTAGAAAGGTCTAACCCTGGTTAGGAGTGCAGTGTTTTTTCATTAACTGCTTCTTCAATAGCCTGCACACTCCCTTGTACTTAAGCCCAACTGTTTTGCTGCATGTTTGCATGTAAATATTAATGTATTGTTTTCAAAGCTTTTATGGACAGACTCTGTATACGCACACAACTTCCCAGGGTCTGTGCATATTTATTTATTTATGCTTCGTTTTCTCCCAAAGTAGCTTATGTAATTCTCACCCTCTCCATTTTATTCTCACAACAACCCTGGTGGTTAGGCTGAGTGTGACTGGCTCAAGGTTACCCAGCAAGCTTCCATTTTATTTATTTATTTATTTATCCTTCGGCTTCTATCCCGCTCACCCCCTAGGGGCTCTACAATTCTAATTCATACGATCCTAATCTAGGGCCACATATGTGTAGGGACGGTGAGAAGCCTACCAGGCATCCTTTATTCTGTTGTAGCAGATCTTCTTGCGAGGGGACAGTCCGGCGGCGACCCTTCTCTGGCACAGGTCTTCGCAGTTCCACTTTTTCCGGCTGTCACAAATGCTATCTCCAGGCCCGGACCACTTTGTGCTTTCGCGCATGCTCGCAGCGGCCTCCGTCCAAGTCAGGCTCCGGCCTGCTGCGTCGCTCCTTCTCCGCGCCATTAAGCTCCATGGCTTAATGGAGATTCAAACTTGGGTCTCCCAGTTTTTAATCCAACATCTAATTACTACACCACACTGTGTTATGTGTGTGCATTAAGTGCTGTCAAGTAGTTTCTGACTTATGGCGAACCTATGCATTAATGTTCTCCAAAATAGCTTTGCACAGGTCTTGCATACTGGGGGCCATGTCTTCCTTTACTGAGTCAATCCAACTCATGTTGGGTCTTTACCTGCTGCCTTCAAGTTTTCTTAGCATTATTGTCCTTTCCAGTGATTCTTGTCTTCTCATAATGTGACAGAAGTGCAAAAGCCTCAGTTTAGTCATTTTAGCTTCTAGGGGGACTTCAGGCTTGATTCAATCTAAAACCAACTTTTCTTTTCTTTTTGGTGGTCCTCCAACTCCACATTTCAAAGGAATCTATTTTCTTGCTGTCAGCTTTCTTCATTGTCCAGCTTTCATACCCATACATTGTAATGGGGAATACTATTGCATGAATTAACTTGATCTTAG